GATACGGCAAGTAATAGACTACAAATTAAAACACACGATAAACTTTCCAGTCACTAAGTTTTTGGTGAGTGGATAGCTACAAAAAGCTTGTAGGATATTGAGCCTCTTCGTGGCCCGACGGACATGGTGTGGATGGCTGACCCATATGAGCAGTATTGGGCTCAAATTGGGCTTTTTTTCCCATCGTTTTGTTTTTGCCAACTCTGACTGTTTTCAAGCTGTTTAGGACTTGATTGTAATTATAAGCTGTTAAGGTTGTTAATGGGACTTTTTGATAATTATTTCTCTTATATAGGACTTCATTGTAATTTTTCTTTTTTTCAAACCAAAAGGGCATCGCCGTCCCAGGAAAATAAAGATCGTTAGTAAACGTAATAGAATTTAGTCAATGTTTACACAATTCTTTGCCGGAAAATAAATGTACACACGTCAACATAATAGACTTTAGTCAACACACACAGATACAGTGTGAAATTTATCCTAGTGTGTTAGCAGTACAATTCTGATTTAGAAATGTTAATTAAATGAATGAAAATTCGGGGAACGAATTTTGTAAATATGATAATTTTTTTTGCATCAAAATTGGATTCGGAAAAAAGTTTCTAATCATTAAATAATTATATTTGTAATTTTTTTTTAAGAGACCTCAGACTTTAACACATCCTTTGATCATTTTGGGCATAAGCAAGTTTCACAACTTAAATTAATCATTGATTTTATATTGTGAATTTCTTTTATCAAAAGGACAATGATTACAAGAAAAACACTATAGATAGATGAATTCTTATAACTAAAATGATTCTTAAACTGAGGACAATTGGGTACAGTAACATTGTATTGATTATATTCTCCGTGTGGTTAGTTAATTAAGAAGTAGTAGTGGATCATTCTGTTTTTGTGGCTTCCTTATGTATTAACACGAATAATGAGTATATTACATTAAACAATATGGAAACGGCGCATCCATGATAATTTTGCTTTATTAAAAAGAACAATACAATTCCATTCACACAAAAAAAAAAAGAGCACAGGAGAATGAGTGTGTGTGTGTTTTACAACTTGTTATCAATAATAATTAAATCCAGAACTCATAGAAGAGGTACGTATCAAAGTTGAAATTTCCTGCTATTATGCTGGGCAAAATGACACACATTGTGGGAAGTGAAGAATTTTTGTGATCGATTATCGAAAATCTTGTTCAGAACAAAAGGAGATTCTGTATTGTAGTACACGTGTAGTCCCTAACAAACCTTATATAAAAAGGGGAAAATTAATATGCATGTCCTTATAGTTTCATTTAATTTTTAATTAGGATTTTATAACTTTTTTATCGGGTCTTCAATTTATAATTTCATCTTTTGATTTCAATCAGGTTCTTGTAGTTTTGTTATCATGCCCTTCTAATTACATTTGATTTTTAGTAAAATCCTTATAATTTTATGTGACTGATAAAAAGAAACAAAACCCTAGGTGCCAGATTTATCCTACAGGCTAAATAATAGATTAAAATGAAACTCCTAAACGCTAAACCACATCTTTTTGGGTCAAATTAAACCATATAATGCTTTGAAAACCCTAAACCTTAAAATCAATTTTATACCATTAAACCCTGCTAACACCTAAAATCCTAAACCCAAAAGCATGTGCTAAATAAAGAAAACGCATCGAGCAAGGAAGGCTGGTCCCTTCAATCCGGATAAACACTGAGCATCATAATTCACCCAAGGGACATGTATCTCCTGCTTCCACTAAAAAGCTACGCCTTCTTTGCCTCTGAGCTATGAACTTGATGGGGAAGTAATAATGACCAACTTCATGTGCAATTTTGATTACTTTAGACCACTATTATTAATCATCCATCAAATACTGAAATGGAATTATCAATATCTGGGCACAGTTAGTTGGAATAATAAAGTAACGTGGAACTTGTCGCAAAGCCTGTGATCTTGCTTGGTTTCTGCACTTATATCATTTACTGATCATTGACACCTGGCTAAGATCCTTGATGGGAGCACCGAATTAAGACTAATTAAGGAATAACTAACATTAATTTAGTCTAAGAGTGCCGTCTTATAAGCTATAGTAGTGTAAAGATAAATCTTATTGGTCGAAGAAATCTTGTTCACATGGGTTCAGCCAATAGAAAGACGGTTTCAGAGACAATCGCCTAAACTTAATATTTGGCCATTTGTACCTTGCTCATCCACTTGCTCTGATATTATAATGCAACCAAACCAAGTATACTTTTTCAGATTCTAACTGATCAGTGGTGGTAATTTCACATTATTATTTCTAATTAGAGAGAGAGAGAGAGAGGTGGGGACTGGGGAGGCTGTGGATTTCCATACCTTTTTAGGGTACGGATTAAGGTTTGTTTAGAATTTGGATTCAGATCGACAAATAGGCGTGGTAAGGCTTCCCTCGATTGTCGGACGAGATGTTGTGTTAATTAAAAAAAACAAAATCTTTACATATGGATATTGGATCTCATATATAATAACATATTAACCATTCACTCTGTAATGAACTCGGGTTGGAGATTTAAAAAATTACAAATAGGTCCTAAATAAAAAACTTATGGGAAAATTAATCTTTTAGTCCCTATAGTTTTCACTCATTTGTAATTCAGTCCTTATACTTTGACTTGGTGCAACTCAGTCCTTCTAATTTTGACTCTATTGTAACTCAGTCCTTGAAGTTTGACTTGTTGCAACTCGGTCCCTATAGGTTTGTCTATTTTATAATTTAGTCCTTGTGTTTTTGAAAAATAAAATTATATATCTAATAAAAGGAGGGACTAAATTATAAAATGGTTAAAACTATAGGGACCGAGTTGTAGCAAGTCAAATTTCAAAGACTGAGTTACAATTGAATCAAAACTAGAGGGACTGAGTTATACCGGGTCAAAGTATAGGGACTGAGTTACAAATGACTGAAAATTATAAGGACTAAAAGATTAATTTTCCCAAAACTTATTTATAAAGAAGTTTCATTAATTATTTACTCTGTACATAATATATATTGGTAACTAATGAGGTACACTTGAATCAGTGTACAATAAGGAACAAACTTGGCCATTTCTCTAGTCAGCAGGCTGCGAAGCCAGCAGCTTGCTTGTAAAGGCTTTCTATATTGAAAATAATTGTCAGTTCAGAGTAATATTTTGAACAGAATTACTTTAATAGAATTGGATAAAGAAAGTTATATTAACTGTCAGATATCAAAATATCAGAATCATTATGGTTTGAGGACTAATTAATTAACATCATAAATACATCACCCTCCAACTTGAGTTGACCTTTGATGTATTAATATATCCATGGGATACCTACATATGAAAGCCAGTTATTCTAGCATATATATGTGTTAAAAAAAAAAACACTTCACTTAATTATATGTATAATAAATTTGCATATTTAAGTAATGAAATTGAGAATAGATGGTCGACATCAAACATTTATTTTAAAACTTTTTAAAATGTGAAATTATTAATTTAAGTCTTCAATTGAAAATATAACGAACTTGTGAAATACGGGGGGAAAAATTCAAGTAGCTAGCTGCAAGGACACACGTTCAACCTTTGAGCAAGATCCAAGATTAAAAAAAAACAAAAGAAAACCTTTGAGCAAGATCTATTATGCATATACCTATTTTTAATTTTCTTTTTACAGTTGTACTAGGATGACGTGTCAGACATTTATACGTGGAAGGTTGTGAAAAAAAATGCTCGATTATTAAACGTACGATGATTTGACTCGATTCTCGGGTAAATAAATGTGAAAAGTACAGTATGAGATTGAGAACAGTAATTATTTTTTAAGACGGAATTCATACACACACACACAAATTGAACAATAATTAACATTATTTATAAGTCATGTTATAATCAGTAGGCTTAATCTATATATTATGATTTATTATCAAATGACACATGAATCATGAACTGTGCAGGGAGCTTGTATTGGATTTTGGGATTTTTTATTTTTATTTTTATGCACTCAGATTATTTGAATCCAAGTTTGATTTTATTAATCAACAAGTCAGCAACATGCAATAACAAATTTTAATGTAAAAAAAGACAATATGTTCATGGTATTTACTTGTTGTAGAGCTTTTGGATTTCTATTAAATTGTTTATATGGGACTGCTCAGTAAATTTTCCAGTAAATTTTTATCTTCAATTTATCTTGTAGAAAGAACCATATTGTTAGAGGAATAAATAGAATCAATAATGGGTGATTTAATGTTATGCTTTATTATTCTTTTCATTTTATTATCTATAAATTTGTTTAATGTAATATTTAAATACCTGCTTATGACTTTTCAATTAAAATTACTTTTGGATCAAGCGTTTACGGCTCTCTAATTTACAAATGCATAAAAAGTTCAGTTATATATACCTATTAATTTTGCAGATCGATATTGAATCTCATCAATAAATGTGTATATTACTATCTCTTATCCTAATTATAAGATTTTGTTTGTAGTCTACAAATAAAATCTTATAAATAGGACCGAAGGTAGTACTAATTAATTGAAATTTTGGGGATCAAATTCGTACGATTATTTTTTTAAGGGTAAGATTAAGAATTAATATTTTAACAAAATAAATTTACAAACTTTAATGTTTCGAAAGAAATAAACTAATGGAGTGTGATTATTCAGGCACTAAATCATTAATTTAATTTATTAATAATCCTTCCCCTCAGGTTGCTTCTCTTTCACCTCAGAATTCCTTTTGGTTTTACTTATAAAGGTCTTGCGAGATAGAAAATAGAGAGGCAAGAAGTTATGCTTGCACTGCCAAAACCACTGATCTAGCATACAAAATCTGGGGCTGTTGCTTTGGAATAAGTGGCTCTACCAAGTAAGAATTCAACTTTACCCCGAACTTTGTTTCGAATATTATCGATGCCTGTGATATGTTCAGTTAATTTCTATTTACAATTCGAGGAATCTTATTTCAGAAACCCTAAGTGCAAATTAGAAGGTGCCAGAGAATGGGAAGAGGGAAGATTTTGATCAAAAGGATTGACGATACTGCAAGCAGGCAAGTGACTTTCTCGAAAAGGAGAAAGGGATTGATGAAGAAGGCGAGAGAGCTGGCCATTCTTTGTGATGTAGAAGTTGGGCTCCTCATATTCTCCAGCACTGGAAGGCTTCATGAATATGCCAGCACCAGGTTCCTTATTTCATCTTCTACTTTCCATCCAAATATGCCCTTTTTTGGTGTGTGTTTAAACTGCTTCAGCGGAAAGTTTCCCTAATTAAATGGCTCATTTCTCTTGAAGCTAAGCTGTCAATAAAACACAAAAACCATAAATCAAATTGTTTATGTACTACCTCCGATTCTATTTATAAGCCCTCGTTTGTAATCTACAAACGAGGTCTTATACTTAAGATTGGAGGTAGTATGTGTGAATTGAGTCAATTCTTGCCTCAAGGAATTACTGATGATCTGATATATAAGTTAATGAAAGCCCATAGTATGCTGTCTTGGAACTTGGGAACTGATAATCATGCTTATGCTGATTTTGGCATTCTTTTTGTTGTGCTAACAGAAGAGGATTAATATTTACTGATGAACATAATTGATGTGCTCTTGATGAACTAGCTAGTGGCCAGAGAAGAACTGCTTAGACGATCTAGCTAGGTGGAAAGAGAGGGGACAAAATTTTTATTTTTTGACAGTATTTAATTTACATCTGGGGAAAAATCTTCTGTTCATCATCCATTCTTTCCCACGCATTTAGACTTAGCTTGTTCAAAAGATCAGAATATGATATTGATATTAAATTTAGAGAGTTGAAATGGAGTTTGTCTTCCTTTGCGTCTTCCTTTGCCTTCTATTCATTTCACTGTATACACACACCACACCTTGCCTTGAAATTCCAATTTCCCAGAAACTACAATATCACCAGAAGAAAACTCTGCGACTCTCTTATTTGCATCTTGGGTATTAAAAAGAAATCCTTCAAATTTTTATTAATTCATCCTATTTAATTTGAGACGTAGTCTAGCAATATATATCCAGACATTTTTTCCAATTTTAGAAAGGTTTCATAAAGCATGATTCAAATTTTCTAATCTTAACAAACTAACTGTAGCTGGCTATCGATTCAATATTTTCATGTCATAATTAGCTAGTCTTGTCAAGTCTTTAGACAATAATTTGGGATTTTTGAAACCGTTAGATCAACACTACCACTAGCTAGTTGCATCATAATAATCATGTCGCCACTACTTTTGGCTTATAACCTTGTAATATAATCAAACATACAAATCGATTCCTAATATAAAGAATATCCTGTTCATCATCAAACATAGATCGATCATGCATAGCCATCTATTAGCTTCTACTAAAGCGTGCAACTTTTGTCAGATAATTAACTTAATCTTGTGTATAAGTAATTAGCCTTTTGGAGCCACACAAAGCTTCTTAATTAATTGCTACCTGCCCCTCGTGTGATAGTAAAAGGTGACTAGTCGCATGACTGTAAAATCCGAGTCAAGTTAAGCCCATGGATGTATAGTGATGAAATCGTCGGTTTCTATTGGTTTGTTCCCTTTATATATATATATTTATACATATAACAGAGGAAATATGAAGGGTAATCAGCAAGTACTACTCTGATCCTATCTATATGACAGAGAAAAAAGATATTTTTTGGTCCTATTCATAGGATGTTAAGAGAATTTTTTGTATGAATGTACAATTTTACCTTTCATTTATGATTATATTGACTTTGTTTGCATAAAGTATGATGCATATTAAATATGAATAAAATTAGAAAGTTATTAAATTTTAAATGAGAGTTAATGAAATTTAAAATTTTTCTTAGTATGTGTGAAACATATTAAAAGTGATTTATAAATAGAATCAGAAAAGTATAAGGTTTTAAACAACTTATCTAATTATATATTAGGCTTCTGTAGAGTAAATAATAGCTAAGAGGACGTGTGAAAATTTAGATTGAAAAATCTCATCTTAGACCAAACGAAAATAGGACGGATGTTGCAATGAGTAAGTATGCTGAATATTATTGTTGTACTAATAAAATTCTGTGATTTACAATGTAAATCGTATATATGATTTTTAACGTGTCACAAAGTTACCAAATTAACGTTATCAATCGATGCTAAATTGATCGCGCAGCAAGATTTTCCCATTTAGATAGTGTCTAGGCCTCTTGTAAGTTGTATTGGAAAGAAACATATAATTTAGATAATTTCAAAAGTTGATTGCTGACAGATTATATGACGAATGAGTTTAGCTATAATCAACATTTAAGTCTGTTTCTCAATTTTTGAGTTGAATTTACTATTCCAGTATTTTATACATATATATTCCAATCAAATGGAATTTTATACTAGTATGTCATATTATTCTTTTTTTTTTACCATTGAATCTCGCTATCACTATTCACCAACATAGACATGCTTTCTGATTCTAATATGATGGCAAATGTGATAGATATTATACTTTTATAGTCCTCCGTTTTTATTTAAAAAAAACACTAAAATACCTTCAAAAATGCTAAAAAAACAAATTGGAGTGATTGAATTTCAAAATCCTAAAATCAGGCCCCTTGTAGTATTTTGAAATTTTAAAATATTACAAAATGACAACATTATCCTTACTTTTAGTGATTATTTTCATATAGTTATTGAGTACTCTAACTTTATTTTTAGCCACTTTTATTTTCAAAGTTCCGATGACTTTTTTTAGATAACTATTGACCACACAAGAATAGTAAATAACTAAACAAAAAGTAGTTATTAGATCTTCAACAACATCCAATGAATTTTTTGAATTTTTGAAGCAAAAGTAATCAACAGAGAAACTAGAGTAATTAATAGCTAAACAAAAGTAGTCACTAAGTCTTTAAAAATAAAAATAGTCAATCGTAATATCAAAGTAGCTAATAGTTAAATAAGAGTAGTCATTAGAGTTTTAAAAACAAATGTAGTCAATAGCTAAAAAAGAATAGTCAATACATAAGAAATAATAGTTACTAGAGTTCCAGCAACTGGCTATCGAAGTTCAGATGACATATCACTAGAGTTCTAGTGGCCAAACACTAGCAGGGCCGCTAGCACTAGAGCTTGGCAAAAACCAACTAAGGGTGTTAAGGTGGCAACATTAAAAGGAAAAAAAAAGGAAAAAAATGATAAGAGGCATTTGTATAATTTTGCAAGATTTAATTCCAATATAGTACAAGAGGGCTGAATTAAGATTTTGGAAATTCACTCACACTGATTTAATCTTTAGGAACTTTCAGGGTACTTTAATGCCTTTTTTCCTTTTTATTTCCTTCAGGATATAGTTTTCACTTTTCACTCTCCATTTTCATTTAAGGAAATGCTTTACGCGATAAGAAAGGAAGTCTAGCAAACAATCGTTATAACACACACCCACACACTTAGTTGATCTTTCTTTTGGTTAATTATTTCATATCAAATCATCTTACTTTCATCTCAAAATTTATGAAGTTGTCATTTTTTAATTCCCACTACCACAGTTTGAGGATTGTTGGTTCCAAATTGTTTGTAGAGAAATTCAGCTAAAAAAAAAATTGTTTGTAGAGAAATATTCAGGTATTTAAGCTTCTGTACTTAAACTGCTAAAGTGTTATGGTGAAGAAACTTATTATACTTATCAAATACGCAGAAGCTGGTGGATTTTCAATTTTAAAAATAACTTAAAAGTGTTTATAACAAGGTTTAGTAATAGGGAAAATGATGCATGAAAAATACCTAACGTTTAGAAATTAAAAGTTTTATATTTAGAGGATAAATGAGAAAAAGAATATAATTTTAAAAAAAGAAAAGAAAAGGAAAAGAGAAGTACACAAGCATTTTGGTTCTTTTGAGAAAAGAGAAGTACACATGCACTTTGGTTCTTTTGTTTCATCCTCGGCGGCACTGATGTAAAGGGTTTCAATCCCCCATTGTCCATTCCTCCTCATTGTTGGCAACTATGAATTAAAATTTATTTCTTAAGTACTGCAAAAATGATTGATAACTGCCTAACAAAGCCCTTATCATTTTAAATATCCCCTCTGATCATTTTACAATGTCACGTGTTAACTACTTTTTAAAAGATTATGAAAATTAGTAATTAAATGTCAAATTTTTATAATTTTTCAAAAGTACCCGTTAGAAAATGACAAAAAAGAAGTTAAAAATTAATAAATACTAAATAAAGAATGTCAACAAAAATTTGTTATCATTTACAAGTTCAGTGCTGTCAACACCAAATAAAATATTATCACCAAGCCTGATTTGGGATTTAATAATTTTTAGCTTTTTTCCCCTTACTCAGATTAAACTCATTACTTTTTAAACAAGTAAGGTCTTATAATTAGGATTGGAGGTAGTATATACTATCTTTGATTTTATTTACAAGTCTCTATCAACTAGTTTAATTTTTAACATAAATCCTTCTACCAAACACTAATGACTTATTTTTAAAAACAAGATCTAATAATTAGAATCGGACGTAGTATTATAAATGTTTTGTTTTTAGTTTTGCATTTTGTTAATCTTGGGATTCAAGATGATGATTGGCAAGTTGCAATTTGCAATAATCCCTACATTGACTCATATATATTGGTTTTGGAGTCATCATTGATGTAAGATATGATTATTTTAAGGGCACATCTGATGTTCCACAGACTATTGAACTTGCACATTGTTTGTTGATCATACACATATATGGTCTTCATAGATTATTGAAAATTTTATATGGGAAACCAACTGCCTAGGGCTACACACACTTTCATGGTGCGACATTCCGGGAATTGTGACAATTCTTTTATATATATGTGACCTGTAGCATAAAATCTGTGGTTGAGAGATACAACAGTTGCAAGGAGGAACATGAACGACTGATGAATCCAGAATCAGAGGTCAAGGTATATATGTGTGAGCTCCGTGTGTTCAACATGTGACTCCAGTAATATTGTCCATTCATCATATTGTTGAATAACTGAATTATGAAGTTACAAATCTTACAGTTCTGGAACCACTGGGAAGTAACAGAGACTTTTGGATTTTTCCCTGGACCAAGGATAATACAAGTTTTCTTTTGCTAATTAATTAGGCTATGGTCTCTATATAGTGCATATAAATTATGCATATATAGACATTAAACTATTTAGCCAAATGATAATCTAATAAGAAATTCACAGTGGCTAATGAGGAATATATGATCTGCAGCAAGACTTTAATCCATAACAAGGATTTTTGAGTTTATACTATGCCCATCTCATGATTGTAGAATTAAACTGCTGAAGCTCTCTCTCTTGAATTAACCAAATGATAAACCTCATCTCCTTTCACCTGCTTTCCATTATATTGTGTTATTATAATATGCATCGATTTACTTGGCACTTGACAGTTCTGGCAAAGGGAGGCAGAATTATTAACGCAGCAAGTACATAATCTTCAAGAAAACCATAGGTACAACACTTTCCCCTTTTTTGGTATTCAACGATTTCATAATTTTATTAAGTAAATAGGAGGATCGAAGGGAAAATTATAAAGCAGTTCAATATCTGACATTAGAGTATTAGCACACTACATCTTGACTATGTCAATGCGCGTATATATACATATATATATACTGCATTGAATCCTACCAATTTTCTGCGAAATAAATTATCGAGACTTCATTGTCACTGCAAACTCCACTTATAATTAATTAGTTAGAAAAAAACTGCTGTAGCTTCTAACATTTCCATGTTTATGATTTGTTGTTATATTAGAACTCGCTAGACAATTGTACTGTCAATATGTGAATTTGGCTTGAAATAAGATGCTCATCACAATGATACATATAGAACTGAAGACAAGTTCTACTACAGAATACTGCTAAAAGGAATGACAGTTAGTTAAACATTGCGATAATACATCAAGTAATTACAAAATTCCAAATAGTGACATATGGATATATGTATGCATGTGTGTATGAGAACACTAACGTTCTAGAGACACAGGAAGTTAATGGGAGAACAGCTTTATGGTTTGAGTGTTAAAAACCTTCTGGAGAATCAACTGGAGATAAGTCTCCGAGGTGTCCGCATGAAAAAGGTCAGATTCCTTCAAGCTAAGATATAACTCTGCAGGGATCAGTATCTAACAAGTTTATTAGTCAAATTTTCTGCAGGAACAAATTCTAAAAGAAGAAATCTACCACCTGAGGAGGAAGGTTTGTCTGAGTTGTGTAAATCTTCACAAAAAGTGCCCTAATTAATTAGCTTCAACGTTATTGTCATTGGACTGGCCTTGTTAAACTTTCTTATACAGGGAAACGCTGTCCATCAGCAAAATGTAGAACTCCATAAGAAGGTAAACCTCATTCAACAAGAAAACATGCAGCTATACAATGAGGTACCCTAATTACTCACATTAATTAATAAGATACTTCAACTTCAATTACGCCCACTTGGGCCACAAATTAAGAAGCCACAAAACTGACAATAAAAATCTCACTTTCATTGGTTAATTAATAACAATATGAAGCTTGATGTGTCAGGTTTATGCCACAACAGATGCGGCTGTAGCAAGCAGGAATGCTTTGCTGTCGTATGGTGTGCGTGCAGATCAAGAAGATCCACAAGCAATGACCCAACTTCAGTTATCGCAGCCTGAACCGGAAGCTCACGAGACATCAGGCAGCGCCACAAGATGAAGGTCACATCTAGTTTATGGTGAGTTAGATATATCTTAGCTCTCAGCATTGACCAAAGAAATAAGATGTGTTACATGACATTGCAGGATAATAAGCACACGGAAACAAGTTACTTAGTTCAATCGCAACAAAAATCCTAGGAAGACAAGAATATGTTTCGTCAAGATGAAGCAGATTAATCAGTACAGTGAAGATGTGCATGTAAATTTAAGGGGTATATGGAAAGAGTAGTATATCATGAGCAAGGGGCCTCTAATGCCTCACACTCTAATGCCTCAACCTTTCAAATGTAATTTTTGTTCTTTTTGTTAGATTTTATATAAAATGAGTGACATTTTGATATTTTATGGACAAAAGTGGATGCAGTTTTGAATTTTTTTATGATTTTTCAAAATAAAAGTAAAAATACACAATTTTAGAGTATTTTTATTTGAAAAATCATAAAAATTAAAAATGCACCATTTTTTATCTATAAGATCTCAAAATGTTGCTCATTTTATTTAATATCTAACAACACGCAGAAGAAAAACATTTGGAAGGTTGGAGCATTAGAGGCCCCTTGCCTGCATACGACATGTACGTAAACTTTTTAAATGATACAATTAAATGCTATCTAACAATGTGTGAGAGAGTTCATGCGAAATCTAACCCTGACTCTTTAATGTTAACCACATGAGATCATTTGTTTAAAAGCAAAATATTCGAGAATAGTCACAAATAAGCATAACTTCGCAGTTAAGTCTCTGTGTTCTTCAGCGAAGATCTTGGCAAGTGGAGGAGACTGGAGAGACAACTCCAGGAAATGGCTTTTTATTAATGGTTTCCAATAATGATAAATGTGGAGTTGTTGCGAAAGCATTAAAATAAGTGAAAATGTAATGGGACGAGATGTTTGGTTAATTAAAATTTATGTTCAGTGTTGACACGGCAACGTATCCAAATTCTCTATTGTTTAAACCGACTCTATTAATTATCTGGAGGAAAAAAAATCCTGCAATTAAAGTAACTCTTTGAGGCTACAATATAATAAGTGACTGTCGAGTTCAAGTTGCGATCCTTCTCCGCATAGAAAATGAAACTCCACGCTTCTGTCTAAAAACAGGAATAAAAAGAAAGTTCCGGCCAAAAAAGGGAATAAAAGAAGAAGAAAAACTATCCATAAGTCTCATATAAAAACAATAAATATACTAATCGAAAGAAAAGCATTAAATATAGACAAGTTTTAAAAAAAATTATATTTGCATGTTAAACTTTCACGTTTACAAGTCAAATTTTTATTATTTATAAGTCAAACTTATTTTAAAAAATATTTTTTAAAGTCTCTATGTATCTAATTTTGTTACATAAACCTGTAAGTAATTTTTCCGAAGGGAAAATTTCACGCTGCTGCCTTAAAAAAAAAAAAAAAAGAAGGAAAAAGAAAAGAAGAAGAAAGAAAAGAAAAAAGCAAAGGAGAAAAAAAAGACGAAAATTTCCTGCTTAAATGGTCTCACCACCTAGGCTTATATTCTTATTTAAGGTACGATTTTGTTTTTTTTTATCAATTAAAGGTACGATTTTGGGCTCAAAATTTCGGCCCTTGGGATATCACTTTTGCAATGAGTTAGCCCATTTAAGGGAAAAACGAACTCTTTGTTGATTTCTAATTTTAAAGGTTCCTTTTACCGCTTCCAAAACATTGGCTTCATTTATATGGTCTTTTGTTTTGAAAATTGTTGTCTTATCTTCAGAAATCAAAACGTGAACTATAATTATCTATATGATTAGGATTTTTTTTTTTTAAATAGCATACTATAATACAAGGTAACAACTTTTGTCCATGGGTGGGTCACGAAGAATCAGAGATTTAGCAATTTTTCTTTTGGTCAAAAAGGTCGGTTATTGAACTAAATTATTTTGTCCAAATTAAAGACGATCCTTCTAAAGACATCTATCTGCGTCCCCTCTGGTGGGGACCCACCTTCATTAATTTTATGTTATTTAATTAGCTTTTTATATACTATTCCCTTGATCCTTAAATATGACCTATTTAACTAATTTGATTAAATTAAAGAAGTTGGGTAGTTAAGTTAGTTAATTATAAAATATGACATGTTTTTTCCTAAAACACCATAATTATTTTCTTAATATCCTTTCTTTATTTTCTACTTGATTATGGTTAAGGGAGATCCATAGAAATAATTTAGGAAAAAATATAAATATGAGAAATAAGTCTTATATTTAGGATCAAAATCAACTCAATAATTAGATCATCTATTAAGGACCGAGGAGGAGTAGTATTTTTTGCCCCTTCACTTGAACACTCCATCATGATAAGTTGTTCATTTTAAGAAACAACAATTATGAAAACTGAAAAGGATGCTACAAACAATAATTTGTTGTTGAATATGAACTATTTGAGGTCAATTCACTTGATAGTTGATGTTTCTCCTAGTTGGCAGGGGTCATTGTTGTAATTATGAGTAAACCGGGTGGGTAGAAACTAATATACAGTTGCAAAATAATCTGACTTTGATTTGACAGTGAACTAAAGAAAATTAATTAAAAATTTTAAATCCTTGTCTTTCAAGTTTTAGAAAACTACAGTAAATTTGAAAAATACCTCAAAAATAATGGAACAATTACATGGATTGCTTCCAATTTGATGCTGCAGAAATCTAATTCAGGAAATAGCTGTCTCTTTACAGGGAAGGGAATTGTGAAAGGTAATTCACACAGTACATGAACACAATTCCCTCCTTCATATGTACACAATCCACGCCATTCTTCACAGTTCTTCAGAGTTCAGACCTTCATTCCACATTCTGCATTCCTCGTTGTCATCAACTGTTATTTCCATTATATATATATATATAGCTCGAAAAAGTATCTGCCTCACTTCTGCTGCATTTTCGGGAATCTGGGGAAGGAAGAAGCCAGACCACTACTCATCATTCTACTAGCTTAGCCTCAGCATCATGAAGACGATCCCACGTTCATACTTGGCACCGACAATCTAACCCATTAAGAGCAACATCTCTGTTCACCCACTCACACATGTACATCACCAACAAAATAAGACATCAAGCGAAGACGAACCGAAGACGAAACAAGAGATTAATCATATACAGATCCAGCTTATCTGCAGATGAAGCATGTCTATGTATAGACATGGAACAGTCACAGATTAATGGCAATATAATTAACTAGGAGTTATATATAGAAAAGCCACACCAATCTTGAAAGATGAAGGAGAGGCGTCTGGGTTGATCGTCTAGATGAGAGCCATCGTCGAAAATTCTGGGAGTAGCTGACAGGATCGTATTGAAACGATGGAGGTTTGGATCCATGGAAATTCTTATTGCTTTCTCTCATAAACTTCCTGAGGAGATTTCTCCACCCGCGGCTCCTCTTGGCGGCACTACCATTCTGGGGGATGCGAGAATAGTTAAAGTCGTCGTGGGCCACCGGTATGCACGACGGCGACATCATGCAGCCGCCGCCGGAGAAGTAGGAGGATCGATGCCCTACTCTCAGATTTCTATCCATTGGAACAGAGATTGATGGGAGTGAGATATGTTTTCGGTTCAGCTGCTGGTTGACGAGTGTTTTGAAGTTTTGATGAAAGATATGATGAGTCCGATGTGGTCACAGTTATTAGGGTCCATAGCTAGCCCTAGTAGATTTCAGGCTACCACCATTTCATTTATTTTTACATCTTCTCTTTTTCACGTCATAAACTACGTAATCCTAAACATATGTTAAGTAGGATCGATCATCTTAAAATGTATTAATTATTTATTAAAATATAATAATTTTTTATTCTATCCTATTTATTATATATTATAAAAAAATAACTATTTATACTATTATAAATAAAGGACAAAATAGTAAATTCATACTAAAAATTAATGAAGTGACTTATAAATATAACTAAAAAAATTTTCTCTCTATATCTTATAATAGGATTAGAGAAGTATATATTATAATATTCAAATTACAATCTAATTAACCTACATATATGATTCATGCATATGATAATTACCAAAAAATCTAAATAATAAATAAGCAGTTATTATTTTTAACTCTAAAACTTGTTATCTTGCTGACTGCTTCTCCCTTAATTTTATGTGTGTTAGTGTCCCACTCCTTTTAAAAAATCTTATATCTTTTGGGTTATGAGTTCAAGTAGAATATAATATAAGGGAAAAAATTAACGTTTAAATCCCTATTAAAAAATATCTATATTTAATATTTAACGGTATCTTAAATATAATTATTTTTACTAGGAGAATAGCAGTGCATAGGGGGAAAAAAAGAAAAGAAATATATATATAAGAAGCAGACGGCTCCATCGGCCTCCATTCCCACAGGCCCATGTCCAACAGTAACCGTTGCGCAGCCACTGATCGTCCGACGCTCCATCATTCGATTCCAAATCAATAATGTCTCACAATATATCGCATGTGGTCCTTTTTTTTTTTTTAAAATATCGTCATTCATATATATATGTTTAATAATTATCCATTATACACAATTAGCTTAAGCCACCTAGCTAGGTAGTAGGAATCACCTAGAAGTTAATATGAGTGTCTAATACTAACATATGATTGAGGAGTAAAAACCTTTTCTCATAACTGAAAAATTATTGTTGCTCTTAAGATGAGTAACTTATTTGGGCAACTCAGGTGGATTATACTAAATTAAATATTTTAAATATAAGATTTATGGAATGAAAGAAATTAAATTGAGAATGATGAAAATAATAAAAGAAATTCATATAAAGATGAAGTTTTTGATTGAAAATGTGTGCCAAAGCTGCCTCCTTCTCGGGTTGAATTATTTATACAATCTATTTATTGAGTTTACATTGACAGTGAAATTTGGTAATGGGATAAAACCATGCATCCACCTCTGAGAATGGTGTACGATAATAATTGAGAGAAAAGGACCATAGGAATTATGAACCTAGCCAGCACTCCCATTTTTTTCTTCTTTTACAGCCAAGCAATCGCAGTAGCTGGACACATGATTTCATTCCAATATTCCAGAAAAATAAATTTCCCAGAAAAATAAATTTAAAGGAAAAAAAATGTTCTGAACACCCATAAATTGAACCACGTCATCGACTTGAAGCCGTATAAATTGAATTGGAAATTGAGGCATGTGATTCTGGTACAAAAACGCAGCTCCACTAGCCGCTGAAGCCACCCGCTACGCTCATGTGGGGACTTCAAATCTTGTCGCTTAGCCAAAACTCATAAAGTGGGGAAGCAGATGACAGTGTCGTTTACAGAACATTTCAGTCCAGAGGGTTTTGTGCCATCTCCATCTTGGATTCCCCTTTTTCATTTTCCCAGCAAATTTGTTCACATTGCATCCTAGATTTATGGCAACGAACTTTATTACCTACAAACCACTGTCCTTGATATTAATATAAGATCTCATTTAATTTTTATTTTAATTATAAATATAAGATTCTAATCTTTTTTATCTTTTTATTTATTTATTTTTAAAATAGTACTTTTAATAATGATATTTTTAACCAATATACTTGATTAATAAGGATATTTTAAGAAAAACATTACCTATTTATTACAAATAAATTAATATTACTTATTTTTTTAATCTATTCAAATTGGGGACTTCAAATCTTGTCGCTTAGCCAAAACTCATAAAGTGGGGAAGCAGATGACAGTGTCGTTTACAGAACATTTCAGTCCAGAGGTTTTTGTGCCATCTCCATCTTGGATTCCCTTTTTCATTTTCCCAGCAAATTGTTCACATTGCATCCTAGATTTATGGCAACGAACTTTATTACCTACAAACCACTGTCCTTAGTTTTTAATATAAGATCTTATTTGATTTTTATTTTAATTATAAATATAAGATTCAATCTTTTTATCTTTTATTTATTTATTTTTTTAAAATAGTCCTTTTAATAATGATAATTTTTAACCAATATACTTGATTAATAAGGATATTTTAGGAAAAACATTACCTATTTATTACAAATAAATAATTTAACTTATTTTTTTAATCTATTCAAATTAGTCAACTAGCCTTTATATTTAACACAGAAAGAAATATATATTCTAATCTGTCTTCCTTTGAAATACGTCAAGTCTTTCACATTCAACAAGTGGTGCTTCCAAAGTCATTGGCGCAGTTTTCCAGATGCTTTAATATACATGTGTTTGAGCTGCGAATCAAATTGAATCATTAAAATTCACACACACACACACACACATACATATATCTAAATACATTCGACACCAGAATGTGATTCCCTATGGGATTAATAATTTGTCATCATTATACTAGCTCACTAAAATAGATAATGAAATTTACAAAGAAAGACAAGAAAAATTTATCTCAGATTGATTTTGCAACGAATTCACAAAAAAGCCTTATTTGTTACAAATTCTCTCTTGGTTTTTTAGTGATTCCTCTTCTCTCGTGTCTATTTTCAAACACCCCATCTATTTACTAATGTGAACAGTTTTCAGTCCTCATTTGTCATATATTACTTGGACAGGGAAAAGTAAAGATGAATTAAATCTGTGTTCCATCATTTGATTTTCTTTTTTTGGCCCCCCTGCTGAAATTCTAGATTTCATTACACATGATTATGATCAAGAAGGGCATGTAACAGAATTAAATTACTGGAAGGATGATTGAAATATTCTGTTATATTAAAATTTGCCACCATGATTAACTTAAGTGATGAAGGTAAGTTCGATTGTCAATATATAGCATTCTAGAGTCCAAACTCTACCTCTATATATTTGGTTTTTTTTTTCCCCTTATACATTTAAATCCGTGTTCCATCATTTGTTTAGTTTAGTCTGTCATGGAAGAAAGGACTAATCAGGTGAAGTGGCTGCTAGCAGATATGGCAACACTGGAAACTTATATTGCGAGTGATGGCTTGTTAATGTTTCAAAAAAGGCATACATATAGCATAGAGAGGCCGTTTCTTCCAGCAAATTCTCATTCATTTTAGAGACACTTTTTAGATATCCACGACCGCAGAGAAATAAATTTCACATTTCTTTTTTCTTTTCCTTGTGAACTAGAAAAATTATACTACCTCCAGTCTTTATTATAAGAGCTAGTTGACTAATTTAAGTAGATTAAGGAAGTTTATTACGTTAGTTACTTGTAATAAATGGGCATTGTCTTTCCTAAAATACCCTTGCTAATCATGTGTATTAGTTAGAATCACAATTTGATAAAATCTTTAACATGTGCAACTACCACAAGGACTACTTGGAAAAAATGTATAAATATGAAAGACAAAGTGGATTGGGGTCTTATATTTGTGACCAAATTAAAAATCAAACTAGCTCTTATATTAAAAACCAGAGGTAGTAGTTTCAGATGATGTGAGACTTTATAGTTGAGAAGTTACTGCAACAGGGGATGGCTGTGTTTTATGGTTGATTATTTGCCAATACATATAGCTGCTTTAATTAATGCATCTGAAGTGTCTGTTGCAAGAGGTTGTAATGTGCCCTTGTATTGGACCACAAGCACTAATCCTTGGCGTTGAAAATGATTAGTAGTTAGTTTTCAAGCCTTGTAATGACTCATTATCTGCATAAGGTATTAATATCTTGCCATGTAGTAAAGGCGCATTACCATTTGTGTAATTGACAATCTAATCAGTAAACACCTCCCGGCGCCTTGTTTAATTTGTGTGGTCCAAATCGTTACAATTTATGAAGCTATTGTTGGGGATACTATCTATTTCAGAAAACTAACTCCGGTCTTTACTTTATCAATTTAGGCATCGTAAAGGAGTTGAGGCACAAATGTGTTATTTTCAGCCTGCAAAAAGGAGCTTGATGGGAGAAATTGTAGCTCTAGTGAGGTGCATAGAATTTCAGTCGTTGTATGGAGAGGTTATCATTTTCTCTTATCATTTATTAGGATGACAAAACCACATCAATTATCAGTAAGAAATCAAAAAAGCTCCTCCACCCATTTGCTATCTGGGCTGTGGGAATGACATGTTTTGGTTTACGATGGTTGATTGATCTGCTGTAGATGGTGGAACCACCCTTTTCTCTATTACAAAGGAGTAGCGATTGGATCCTCCAAGGCTCTCTATAGACCTCATGTATTCTGATGCATTGTTCTCTATAATTAGAGCATCCTCCAACTCTCTCACAACATCATCCATCTCAGGTCTGAATCTTGACAAGGTTTCAACACATGAGTGTGCTACTTCCACCACTCTCCACAGTGCCTCTGCATGATATCCTCCTTTTATGCCAGGATCCACAATTTCATCAATTTTTGCTGCTCTTATATATGGTTTAGTCTGCATGCAAATTTAACATACAATAAGTATATGATTATTGACTAATACTAGCTGCATCATGAGTGCCTCATTCTCTGAAAAAGATGGAACTTGGATTATACCCATTCTACTAGGCTCCACTCATTGCGTGGCCTGTGGATGTTGAGAGGTTCCCGACCACTCACAATTTCAAGCAGAACCACACCAAAGCTGAAGACATCACTTTTGGCAGATAACTGCTGGGTAGTGTAGTATCTGCATATTCATAAGTATGAGCTTTTATTTTGGAATTGATACAAGAGTCTGAGCAGTCATTGTGGCACATAATTGTGCAAAAACCATGACTTTTAAGAATAAGAACTAATGAACTACTTGTTCAAGGTAGAAAAAGAAAGCAATGCAATAAAGTTTTGAGATGAAATCATTAAAGTAAATGTATTTACTCGGGATCCAGATATCCTGCTGTTCCTCTTAGTTCAAGAGAAGCACCAATGTCTCCTTCCTGAGGAGCATATTTTGAGAAACCAAAATCTGCTACTTTAGCTGTCATGCTATGATCCAGAAGTATATTGCTCGATTTTACATCCCTATGTATAATGGGACGCCCCGGAAATGTATGAAGATATGCCAAACCTGCTCAATTTTTGGGGAAAAAGTAGTAAAAGTTCTAGCCTTTTCTTGTCCTTTGTTTATGTAAATTAGTTTCATGTATTTCAGCTTTACATATGATTTTGTCCTCCTCTGCACTAGGATTTCACGCTCATGTCTTTATCTTATTGGTGACATTATGCTAAGACGTGTCTAAATGAGGTATATTTGTCTCCATTTATTTATTTATTTTTTTTTTCAAAACAAATTGTTAGCTACCTCGAGCTGCACCCAGAGCAATTGAAAGTCTGGTTGGCCAGTCTAATACTTTTCTCTTTGCTGGTTCTCCTGTTGTCAAGCTGACTTTCAGAAAACAATGGGTATCAAAATATTTAAGCTAAAAGATTTTTAGGATATTTACCATAAAGTCTATCCTGTAAAGAGCCATTGGACATAAAAGGGTACACCAGAATTTGTTGATCCTTTTCACTACAGTAACCAAGAAGAGGCACCAAGTTTTCATGTTGTATCTCAGAAAGCAGATTTAGCTGCAGGATGCATAATAAACTAGTCAAACGGCATGACTTATTGTAATACTATTGATAGCCTTCTCATCTTTCTGTCACTTTCCAGGCAATGGAAATACCAGTTTTAGCATGACCATTATATAACCATGGGAATTTTGATAGCTAGCAAGTTGTAATAGATCTATTGTACCTCATTGTCAAATTCCTTAGTTCCCTGAGTTGATGTGGCGGACCGGACTTTCATTGCCACTTCTTGACCATCATCTAGAATGCCCCTGTAAACACAGCCAAACCCTCCTTCACCTATTAATGTTTTGTACTTCTCGGTGGCTGCCTCTATATAATCCAGGGTAAACTTTTGAATACATGCTGACTTCATGAAGAAATCGTCTTTACTGGGCAAAGAGAAGATTATATCTGCATTTTTGTTTAGAACTGTTATATACTTACAATTCAATGTATGCGTGAAGATTGGACCAACAAGTCTGACTTGTCAAACAATTACATAAGCATATTCCTTAAAAACAATGAGAGTTGTTCATGGCCATGAGAAGGGCATGATTTATTATTTTGGCCAGATGATAGAAAGGAAAAGCACCAATAAAACACCAAGAAAAGGAATTACAAAACTGGTAGAATCACTCAAATCTTTCATTTTTCAAAACACAAATGCTGATAGAAACGTTCTTCAACTCACTGATGTTCTTGTCAGTAGATATGCAAAATTAGTATGAGCCATCTGTACAAAAATTCACACAGGATATTTTAATTTTCCTTTCTCATTTTGGTCAATATTTGTCATCATGCATAAACTTGCGTGCAATGTCCTCACAGAAGTACCTATGATAAAAGTGATGAAGAGTAGGTAGTGATGGAGAATAGAGAAAAAGTGATCCAGGAAACAGGTATTGTGATGGAGAATAGAAGACATATACTCACTTGTTGCCATTGGGTTAGGGTATTTCTTTTCATCAAATCCTCCCCAGGGAATTGATATTTTCTTACAACGGCAAAGAAAAAGAAATCCGAGAGCAAAAGTAACCAAGACCGCCCCACATGTGACAGTTCCAATGATGAGTGGTGCCCTTGATCTTTTATGATTGCATCTTCCATAACTGAAATATCAATTTAAAACAAGTAAATTTTTGTTCATTATTTTCTAGCTTTAAAGTTTCAGTCGTTTTTATGCGCACCACCCCCCCCCCTTTGGGGGGGGACTTTCATTGTTTCGGTGGATATTTCATACTCTGAATTGAGTGAACTGTTGAAGTTTGATGGGACCTCCTTGCTCATGTGAGGATTGCAGCCGAAATATCTGAAAAAATAAAATACAAGCTCAATTTATGGACAAATTATGTGTTAAATACAGAAACAATCAAAGCTTAGAGTAGTGGAATTCCTCCGAAGAAAAAGAAGACTTACAAGGATTTTAGATGTGATAATGAGGCAATTGATCCCTGAAGCGATCCCGTGAGATCATTGTAGCTTAGATCTCTGATCAATAAATGTAATTGAATAGAACATGTAAAGATTAAGCTCTACTGTTATTACTAGTATTGGGAATTGATGGAGATTCAGTATAAATGCCCAAGTCCCACATTCACATTCAATAATAGTATGCGATTTTTTTATGGAATATTTAAGTCAGGTGGTTCTTCCAATAACTAGCTTTTAGGAGAGGATTTCCTATGTTAGTTAAGTATGTGCCAGTAGTAGTGTCAAACAAGAAAAGTTTTGATAAAATGTCTCAAGGACTAAGCACATTCATATTAGCATGGAAGATTATGATTGTGACTTTGAAACTTTATGTGCATACAATAGGGTGCTATGCAAAGGATGAATATTAGAACATGTGAATACAAAAGGATCACTTGAGTGTTTCATTTCCTTGTGCTTACATCTGTATATTGTCGTGGCACTCATTTCAGCTAATTTAATTCGGTGATACTTTGTTGCAGCTATGACAACACAGCATGGAGCGGATGGCACGAAGAAATTCAATGTTACTTATTAGATCTCGAGATCAGATGCCAACCTTTTAAACTATAATCCAGATGAACCATAGAGTATTGTTTAACATTGGCAGAGATAACAGTATTGTTTAAGCTTAACTTATATCATCCAAAGAAGTCATAGTTGAAATTGAGACGATATATTTACAGTGATATCAGCGAAGAGGAAGGAGGAAATGGGGGTACACTGCCATTGAAGTTATTATGACTCAGGTTCCTACACAATCAAATAATTATAGCAATGCATCAGAAACCGAGTTCACAGGAGGGGGGGGGGGAGGTGGTGAACATAAGGAGCTCCGACAGTATTACAGTGTTTCTAAGTTGTTCAACGCAGTGACACCTGAAGGAATTGGTCCTCTGAGATTACTTGAAGAAAGATCCCTGAAAAGGCATATTTACACATGGAATAAATCACCTCCCAACGAGTCACAGGGAAGCCAAATATTTTGCTTTTAATTAATTAGCTGCATTTGTATAAGAAAAGTGAGAGGACTTACAGCTTATTGATAACAGTTGAATCATTCAAAAGATCGCATTCTACTCCATTCCAAGGAAAAGGCATGCATGGGTCTCCACTCCAACTCTCTAGCACTTTATTGCCTTGGTTTTGCGTCTGCAATTCTTCTGCCACCTTCAGCATTTCTTTCACTGAAGGAAGAAAAATGATGCTTGTGAGAGAGAAGTGGATAGTGTGAGGATGAAGATGACACTTGTGCCTGACACTTATATACACTTACAGTTATTATGATTGGTCTCTTTCATCCATGGAAGAACTTCCAGAATTTCATATGCATTACAAAGTGGTCCGTATTCAGAACTCGATTCTCTGGCCAAGGTTAAATTGATCGCACCAGTTGATGAAACATTCAGCACTGTGTCTCTATAGTTGGAGCCTCCAGCCAATATATCAAAATTCTTCTCTTTAATGTCACCATTGAGATAGATGTCAAACACTCTTTGGCCTGACCTAACAGTATTGTTTAATTCAAGGAAGTAGATGAACACGCGGTAGTCATGGTTCCATGTCTCTGAGACATTGTGAATGAACTCCAATCTCTCAAAATGGGTAAGAGCAGTTCGTAAAACTTGAAGAGGAGGAGTCACATTGGCAACTTGGCCAGAGATGCTGACATTGAATGATGATATGGGAGATGCCGATGAGCTTGAAGTTCCTTTCCAGATTCGGTCATTTGGGTCTGTTGGGTACCTGAAATAAGTAAGATTCCTCAATACTATAAGTCTCTTATTCTTTGCTTCTGAATTTTTACAGTTCTTACACGATTCCAAAGCCATAAATAAATGCGGTGGTTTTCTATTAAAGACTTGAACTGACGCCTATAGCTATCTTTTCTCTGCAAATATTTCCTGCTCATCACGAAAGTTACAACAAAAAGGGGGGAAACAGATTACATACCTGATGTCACTTACAGTGCCCCCTGGATTATTTCTACTGACCAGTTTTACAACGCTAGAATGTAAATCCTGCAGATACTCTTCATGTATAGGCCTTAAATCGATCTGAGAAATATAAGGATTCCCATCTTCCTGCTCCTCCTTCACTAAGCAAAAGTCTATGGAGCTCTTAGATGCTCTGAAAATTCCCTCAACTAATTCCAAGTCCTGGGATGGTCTTACTGAACCTAATGATGTTACTGCAATTGACACATTAAAGGAAAAATCCTCAAGTGAATTGTCAGATGGAAATGAGCCCCTTAACATATAGACTTTGTTCTGAATTGTTGGCAAGCTGTAACATCTCTTTCCCTTATCTGTAATATCAAACACTCTTGCTCTTTGGTTGCCTGTTTGGTTTGCGTTATGATTGGTCAAGCTTATGCAGCTAGTTTTATCTGGAAACCAAGTGTAATCTGATTTGTAACTCAAGTTGGTCTCTGGGTCTGTGTATCTTGAATCAGCACAACAAGCTATGCTTACAAATCCTGCAATTTCAGCAGCATTTAGGATTCTCTAGGATGATACAGCATGCAACTATTCTTTGTATTTATCTAGCTAGCATTCTTTGTGGAGGAAATTTAATGCATATAAGACCATAATACAGCCATTCAAGAAATCATTTACACGAAGTCACTAACCTTCATTTGCAGAAGATGATCTGACGAATACGAAAATGCAGAGGGAATATACCAGAACAAGTCTGAATATCCAAATGTCCAATTTCTCCATCGTTATGGTCTGAAAGAAGCGTAATCCCCCTATGTTCAAGCTTGAATCCATGCCAACTAACTTTTCATTTTCCAGCAACTTCCGTCCACACACACGCACACAAGCTGTTCTTTTCTATCAGGATTCTTCTGTATCTCAATAATTCAGATGGAAAAAGATGGACCTTGGCCAACTTTATACCTCTTCCTATAGTTTTCAAATGCAAGATTTTGAAGCTGTTCTCAACTAGCCATGGTGGGATGGATGGTCAAGAGGAAGGAGACTCGGCAATATGTGCATTTGACCTCAAATGTAGAAACTGCAGGAGCCAGGAACAAGATAGAGGATGAGTTAGAGCTAGAAGAAAAATCGAGAATTAATTAAGATTATTTGTTTAATTTTATTTTAAAGTCAAAATTATTTGTTTAATTAGTTTCATTGGATGCTATACTATTATTAATGTTGGTTTGGTGTAGTGGTTGCTTCATTTTGTATATGATATTGAATTATTGATATATAGCTTAAAATAATAGAACAAAGACCAAACCTTCGTCTTCTTCTACCTTCATGCCCCTAACTAGTCTGCGTTTCATACTGGAGGCTCTCTCACAAACATAGTGATTTCTGTAATTTAATCCCCACAAGATAGTGAAGTTTTGATTTTTTTTTTTCAATCATTGTTTGCTTTCAGTTCAAAGAAGCTTGAAATTTCAAAGTAAAAAAAAAAATTAAGAAGAGGCTCAAGGGAATCCCAAAAGAACAGCCAACCCCTCAAAATCCTGAGTTTAGTGCCGAATCGTTCACATGAATAGACTGAAAACTACATGTAAGATTAAATTAACCTCCATGTACAGGAGGACTTTTGCAGAACTTGTGGACCTGTAATTTTTTTACTTTAATATTTACCATAGCATGGACTATACCTATTACAGCTATATATATGTGATGACAAGATCCAAGATTCAAGAGGAAGAACATGTTGAAGACTATATTCTTCAGCCTCATCACATATACATACATGATAAATATCGTCTTCATTCACATTTTTTATTTTTTTTTGGTCAGCATTTGCAATTTTTTTATTAACACTGTTGACGAAACTAACAGCTTTTAGCATAGCATCGATTAGTAATGAAAAAAATAGTATTTGAAAAAATAGATAATTTTTTGCATGATTATTACATGCGCATGCATGTAATAATATCAAAACTACATGCATAGCAAGACAAATGTATAATATCCCAACGTAGGAAATTCTAATTATCTTAGTAGGAAGGAGGTCCCTGGTTAATCCAATGAGCGTCCCACTTTCTTTTTTATTTAATCTAATTTATGCATAATCTTATAGAAACATCCAAACAAATTATAAAATCTAAAGACGAATTCAGTCCTCTACTGAATTACAATTGTGAAAGATGCTAACATCTGACTCAATTGTATATAATTTTTAATTTAATAGCAAGTAGCTGATTTAATAATTGACATTAGCATTGAGATCACTCGTTTGATTCCCAGTTGAGTAATAACTGGTTATTTGTCAAGCTGGGGCAGTAATTGTTCTACAGTAATTTATTGGTCACATAAAATAAGTTAAATCTATATACATAAGAAGGTGAATAAAAATAGCTAAAATATACTTTTAATCTTTAACTATACATCAAGCTTTAGTTTGATCCTTTAATTTTAAAAAAATATATTTTTAGTTCTTTAATCCTAAAACAATTAACAATGATGATATTAAGATTTTAAATATGGATAAAATACTTTAAATACTAGCATATTAAGTTTATTTATAATAATAAATAGATATTTTGGCAGATTTTGACTTATCAATCATTAGAAAAACAGTCAAACTATTACTGTTCTTTATTATAAGAACATTGATGCTTATGGCATGTTCCTATATATAAGAGACACTTAAAATTGTCTCTACTTTTTTGTGTTGATTTCCTATTTTATCCATATTTAACTCATAGTCTCTCTACTTCTATATTTAATTGTTCTCATGCTCTCTCTATTAATGAAGGCATTTTTAGAAAAAAAAATTATACTTTTTACACATTAATTGTTTTTAACTAATTTTAACTATTTATCAGAATTTGTCTCTTATAATAAAAACGGAACGAATATAAAATACCAACGTAACCTATTTATTTTGGCTTCATTATCGAAGGTAAAATAGGAAACTCCGAAGCGTGAGGGACTTCAATGATATCAAAATTCCGGAAAATCCACAAAAGATACCGACGCCAGCGTGAATCAGTTTCACTTATTTAGTTATATTGCGTGACGATTCATCAACACGCGCGGGTGAGTAAGTTTCGTTTGAATTGCATGACGATTCATCGGCTCAGCTTTCAAAGTACACTGCGTGTTTTCGTACTACATTTGAGTTCCCACAATTTGTACATTGTACCTTTCACGGTATGACGTGCATTGTTGGTTCAATTCCCTATGTACCGTTCCTGCCTGTATATATCTGATCGAATACAGCTTCTTCCTCATCCCTACTCCCTGCAATTCGGTAATCCCCATTCCCCGCACCCTCTTCTAGTTTATGGAATCGTTCATGTGATAGACTTCTTGTAGACCAGACTGGAGGATGGAGATGTTTGTTTTTCTTTTTCGGTCTTTTATGTCCTTAAATTTTCTTTCATTCCTCTCGTTGACTAACCCGCCGATCCCTTCGCGTCTAATATCTTGTTGACCATTATGTAATCGACGTTCTTCTGTGGTTCGACTTTATGACTTTATGGGTGCCAACAAGATTTCTCTTTTACATTTATTGCTGATGCTGATGAGTTTGTAACTTTAAATTCTTACTGAATAAGAAAGAAAGTATATAATTGCGAGGGACTGATACTTTTCTTCGCCAAGTTGCTGAGAGATGGCTGTTTTTCAGGTTAAATTGAGAGATGGAAGTCGAATCACGTCAAGAGTTTGAATGGATCGAGGCGCAAAAAATTGCAGTAGGCGTGGACCTTGTGGCCGTGGCAAAACAGCAGCTTCAGTTCCTGGCAGCTGTTGATAGGAATCGTCAACTCTACGAAGGTCCTGCTCTAGAAAGAGCTATCTACCGGTGAGCACTCCAGGAATTGTCTATTGTTTTCAGTACTGGCTTACAGAACTCAGTTGCTTGAATTTCCACTTCCATGAATCTAAACATAGACTGTGAACATCTTTTCTGTCTGAGTTCAGTGTTTGGAAGATTGAGAAAGAGCTGCCCTCGGTTTCTGAATTATTTACTTTCTGCTTGTGGTTTCTGGTTATTGGTTCTTTTATGAGGGACCTCTATCTTATGCATCTAATCTATATATCTACATATAATGTAAAATCTATAAAAGTCGCATTATTTATATATCATGAATAGTCCATGCATGAGACCCACAATCTAGTTCTATAAGTTATTTTCACCCATAGTAAACACTGCTTAATTCCAGTACGAATGAGTCACTCTATTTTGAATTGTAAGGTTTCCAACATAACACAGAAATAATTCTCTACGCCGAAGTATTTAAATCAAACAGGTCTGTAACTTGGTGTCTGTAACGATGCATTTTGTTCTCAGTTTGCCCTTCCTAGTAATGAATTTCTCTACTTTTGCACTTCTTCCTATGAGAGATTTGCCATATAATTGTTGTTAAGTAGGTTACCCTTGTGTGTGTTAGAAGTTTGATTTTTTCCCCCTAATTTACAGTGGCAATGCTTGGTTAGGTATAATGCTTGTTGGCTTCCATTGCTTGCCAAACATTCAGAGTCTCGGATTCTTGAAGGGCCTTTGGTTGTTCCTCTTGATTGTGAATGGGTTTGGCATTGTCACAGACTTAATCCGGTGTGCTTCATTACCACAAAACATTTCTGTTCCCTGTTTTTCAATTGCTGTTCTTTTAATGAGTTGAGTTTCTAAGCAAGGGCATGGTTCTATGCCACAGGTGAGGTACAAATCAGACTGCGAGGAACTTTATGGACAGATCCTTGACAACTCTGATGTTGTCTCAACTGTTCAAGGAATTTGTGGGAAGCGAACTGAAGAAATTTGGAATAAAATGTATCCTGATGAGCCCTATCATGCTGATTTAGTGAATATTTCATCAGAGGATATTACTGTAAGACTTGTGAAATGCACCAAATATGATCTGGTTTCTGCTGCTAAGAGGCAGAGTCCATTCTTCTACCAGGTAATGGATGCTTTTCCTGTTTCACATGTCACGTCCGATGACATTTGTGTTATCCGTGCTCAAGGATTGAAATAGTTAAAAGAAATTTGGGCATCATGGTGTACTGGGCCACCTCTCAAAAATTTTAAATAAACTCTGCCTCCTTTGTTAAAATCTAGACACCTATGTTTATACTCAATCTGACTCCTTCATTTTCATCTAAATGAGGGTTAACTACTGAATCAAATAGCTTTTTGTGATTTTCAAAAGAAACTTCTGTTGGAAAAGAATCATTAAGTTCTGAAACTTTCATGTTTTGTATGTGAGGAAGTTGGTTTTATGACGGGTCCAAAGGCTTCTTTAGCAATAATACATGGCGGTTGATGGCTGATTTTCCTTTGAGAGTTGTCTTTTTTGCTTTTATCTTTTTGGGCTTTTTTTTTGGGGGGGGGGGTGTTGCATGGCTCCTTTTCTTTCCAGTGGAACTTATAACTTTGTTCCTTTATGTGAAAGGTATCAAGACCCCACATGAGCTGTGATGTCTTTATCAAGGAAGCTGTAGCCCGATATAAAGGCTTTCTGCATCTAATTAAGAGAAACAGAGAGAATGGCATAAAACAGTTCTGTGTTCCTACATACGACATTGACCTAATATGGCACTCTCACCAGTATGCCCAGTTTCTTATTGTAAAGACCTCAAAGCAGCACTTGGAAAGGTATTAGAACATGATGACATGGACCCTGATAGAACAAAAGGAAAGAAGCTAGATGTTGGTTTTTCTGGAACCACCCAAAAGTGGGAAGAGACGTTTGGTACAAGATATTGGAAAGCTGGAGCAATGTATAGGGGTAACGCACCATCTCCGGTCACAAGTAACCCTTCGTCTAACATGATGTTTGAGAAGGTTCTTTCTTCCACTGACCATCCACTAGAAATTCAACTTCAAGAAAGGAAAGTTGTGGAGGTACTTCCTGATCTCCTCTTCTATACTATATGTCACGTTTTATGAGCTCCACCTTTGAATAATAAGTTCTATAGACGTGCATATAAGAGTCCACGCCACATGCTTGAGACATATAACTACATAGGTCACTGCTGCATATCACGAGAAAATGGTACAAATATGCTGCCGTTAAATCTGCTCTAGGGCCATTCAACTTTTCAGAGTGACCTTCAAACAGTTAGGCAGCATGGAAAATATTTTATCACCACCGAGATATAGCCATAGATGCTTTGAATGTTATGGAAAATTTGATTCAGAATTTAATTAATAATTACTTGTGAGTAATACATAGTTACTTTTGTTTTAAATTTCGAGAATAATAGTACCACTCTCTCTAGTGTCTCGTAAAATCTTACTCTTTCTCAATTTATAGTTGCCTTTGCACTCTGAACTAAATTATTATACTGGATTATTATTTTCTTCCTGAATCCTTTCCCAGGTTCTATTGGAGTTTGTTGGGGTTAAGAACTTACCAGAGGGACACAAAGGAAGTCTCACTGTTGTATTTTCCAAATCACTGCCGGATATATTTTTTGATGCTAAAAGAAAACTGAGTATTTCGTCAGAGGCTGGAGAGAAAATGGTTGCATCTTTCCAGTGTGAACCTACAGGAGAGCTGCATTTTGAGCTCATGTCACATTCTTCTTCCACTTTGTGTAGAAGATCATCAAAGACACTGGGCTTTGCTTCTTTGTCTATGCAGGACTACCTTGATCCAGTTTCAAAACTATCCACTGAAAGATGGTTGGCATTGGTGCCCAATTCTGGTACCATGAGCTCAGAGCCAATCTTGTTGCGTGTAGCCATCTCACTTACTCCCCCAGCTCCTGCTCCATATACGCTTGAAATGATTCAATCTCATCCATTTTCTGAAACTTCCTGCTTCTTCAACTTTCCTGTTAAGCCTCAGCATTCCAAGTGCTGGACTCATGTGACAGATGAAACTGGAACCAGAGTCATCAGCCTTCAAATGAGGTACATTCTATGTCCCTTGTGGTAGATACTAGTTTTGTAAATTCCTGCCAATTCTGCACATCAGATGTAACTTATTTTGCGGTTTGTTTTTGTCCTGGAAATATCAGCATGTTTTGAATAACCTCCCAAGTCCATCAAAGCATTTTCTGTCCTTGAATTCCCAGATATCCATGAAGCTATTCTTTTGAAAGACTTCAATATGTGTAACCAAGAGCCATTATTGTTTGCTACTGTAGCTGTTTTTCTTTGGACATAGATGTCAGTGCCTCGCACTCTTACTGACATAAGTCATACATTTATTATTTCTTTTTTTTTGGGGGGGGGGGGGTTTTCAGGGTTCAATCACATTTATGAACTATGGTTGTGTTGCCAAAATAAGACAATCCTCTTGTAGATAGGAAACTTACAATAAAAAGAAAAAAAATAGTGATCTGATATTTTAGTCCAACTTAATGAACTGAATCTTCTGATTAATCAAAGCTGTTCCAAGTGAGATATGAGATTTGTTTACTCAAGGAACAGCCTAAATTCAAGCTGCCCTGTATGTCATGTGAACATTGCGAGTCCTTAGTCTGTGTTCTATATTTTGTGCAAGATTTACTGTCGTTATTATAAATTCAAGCTCTTTCCTCTCTCTAATTGCATTTCAGAGATTTGAAGAAGGCCAGGGATACTTGGATCCCCGGAAAAGAGGTTATTGGCCTTATGATGTCTGGTGAAACACGAACTCTTGCAGAGTTTGTGGGAAATGGGTGGTCAGTGATGGACAATTTTTGGTTGTTTCACCTTCCAAACAAATTCAGAGATGATGGTCATCTCTTTGTAGTTACTGGCACGAGAATGGTAAGTATGCTTAATAATTCCATTTTAATGATTGTTTGCCATGCCAGGAGCTCCCTGGGATCTTTATTACAGCACACCTGTTTTACAGCTAGCTCTTCTGCTTTTGTTTTTTCGGGTACAAAGGGGCAAGTTGAACAGCTTGAAAGCAAGTAGGATCCAACCTAGGACCTTCCATAAGCAGGGGAAGTTTGGTGCAGGGCCATACGCAGTTTTCTGCTACCATTTCATAACTGACATGAAATATTGATTTACTTTTGTCTGGATTGTAAGTCTTGAGGTACTGACTGGCTAAAAAGAAAAAGGTGTTGGTACACCAATCACTTTGTGTTGGTAAATGTGCCAGATGGTGAGGAATGGGTATAGACCAGCGACACTGCTGAACTGGCATTGTCTGTTAAGCATTGAGGCCTGAGAAGTTTAAGATAGTTCAATTACCATTCACAGAATGAGCGGTGATGTATTTGACGTTTAGCAAGGAGCTTAACAAAGAAATAACTTTTTGTTGACACATTCAACAATAGCAAATGGAGCAAAAATGAGCTGCAATGTCACTAATGAAGATAAGGGGATGGTAGAAAAACTTGAATTTCCCAGTGTAATTATGATAAAGGGTACTGCCTCTATTCCTGGTGGTTGTGATGGAGGCTTTGGAAGCATAATAAAGAGGGGTGGCTGTGGAGACGGTGGTTGTGGGGCAGGCTGTGGAACCGTGGAGAAAAGTGGGGAAAGTGGCGGAGTGTTCGGAGGCTGTGCTGTGTTTCGGGTGATAATAAATGGGGCATTGATGAACACCAGGACAAGAGGCCAAACCCGGAGAAAATTGGGCAATGTGGTGGCTGCGGGACAGGCTGTGGGGGAGGCTGTGGGGGAGGTGTGGTGGAGGCTGTGGGGCTGTGGAGAAAAGCAGGGAACGTGGTGGTGTGTTCGGAGGCTGTGCTGTGTTTCAGGTGATAAATGTGGCATTGATGAACAACAGAACAAGAGGCCAAACTCGGAGAAATTGGGGAATGTGGTGGCTGTAGTGCGGGGAGTTGTGGGGCAGGCTGTGGAGCTGTGGAGAAAAGTGGGGAATGCGGTGGCGGGTGCGGAGGCTGTGGCGTGGTTCGGGTGAGGTGATAATATGCCGTTAATGAACAACAGAACGAGAGGCCAAACGCGGTGACTGAAGCAGTAGCTGCCTGATATATAAAAACTATGTGTTGCTGAAGGAACCAAAACATATATCAATAAGGTTCCCGATTCCGTATATTTAAGTATATTCTAAAACATAAGGATATGGTATTAAGTAACGCATCAATGTTCCTCAAAATATGTAAAGGATATAAGATGTATTCTCAAAATCTGAAGTTGTGAATGTCCTCATGTCATTGTTATGGTGTGATGTGATGAGATTGGTGTGCTACGATGTAACTTGCAGATGGTTATCATGAATAAAAATATATATATATATATATATATATATATATAATGAAGAAGTATCCTATAGTAATCCCTCCAGCTCGAAACATTTTAATAATATACTGTCGGGCTTATGCATTTATAATGCAATTTTGGGTATTTCAGGAGTATTTTACATGATTCCATCCTTCCATGCTTATAGGAAGTCATGAGAAATATAACTGCATAAAAGGAAGGTTGATACGGCCATCCATAAGTGGCACCGGCTCGTTTTGAAAATCCAAACTCAAGAGTTGGGTATTTTACAATAAATTCAATATTTTCTGTATTAATATAATAAAAAAATTGGAAAAAAATAATGTTGCTAACCTTCAAGAGTCAAAATGGCATCTAAAGATTGGCAAACTGAAGCAAAACCCATAACATAGTCCTTCGTTCCACTCAATGATAGCACAAGAAAATATGTCTGGAGAACAAAGAGATCCATTCAAAGAGTAAAACTGTCTCCCACATTCCAAAATCTAAATCAAATCAGCGAAGAAAGCTTGAGAGAATCAGAACCACAACCACATCACCAAGATCTAGATCAAGGATTTCAAAGCTGGCTTATCAAACTTGAACAAACTCCAAACTAACTAAAAGTTAAAACAGTTCAGCTTCACACTGTTCATGAAACTACACAATTATCAAAATCAAATCAGCGAAGAAAGCTTGAGAGAATCAGAACCACAACCACATCACCAAGATCTAGATCAAGGATTTCAAAGCTGGCTTATCAAACTTGAACAAACTCCAAACTAACTAAAAGTTAAAACAGTTCAGCTTCACACTGTTCATGAAACTACACAATTATCAGCTGACAATGAGGATGGAGGGGTCACAGCAGCACTCGTCTATTAAGCAACAGCAACACAAAGCTGCGAGGCTGATCCAAAACATAACAAGTGCAGAGAAAACAAAAACAACATTAATATCGACACCAAAAAAAAAATACAAATCAAAGTACATTGTAATGGGAATTGAACACTTACCATCCCTCAAGAAAACCTGGTTCTCTTCTGGGCGGTGGTGGAGGAGCATACTGAGGAGGTGCCATGACAGGAGGCCCTTGATAATACCCTACACATACAGACACAGTCACTGCATCAACCTAAAGAAGAAGATCGAAAACTCTCTTCCAGAAGTAGGCTTAGAAACAAGAAGATTAATAGGAGGAAGTGAGAGAAAGTGCACCTTGTGGTGGTGGTGGTGGAGGGTACGGATAAGCATACTTGGGGTCGTTCATTTCTGCCAAACAGAGAACCACGAACAGAGTTTGTGACACTAAAAACACAGACAGTGAGTGCAATGCAACTGCAAGTTTGTATGAGGAAGGGCACCAAATCCCAAACGACCTGTAATTGGCCGGGCTGCTTCTCCTTCTGCTCCTGCTCCGGATACAGTCCTTTACCGATGTATTTATCTTGGGAAGGTTTTTTTTGTTTTTGTTTTGGTAAGTGGTTTACTTTTCTCGACACTGTGAATGAAGCTTAGATTATTGTAACCAATGGTTGACAGATGTCTACAACTTCAGCGGCAGTAGCCAGAAATGGAGTGTCCCGAACCAAATCTATTTGTACTGCCGTAGTTTCCATTCATAAAATATTTTAATAAATTAAGAAAAAAACTTTAAAATGTATTAATTTTATTAAAAATACACACTTTTATAATTTTATTTTTATTTAATACATACACTTTTAATAAAACAATTATTATGTTATAATAAATGAATTTAATAAATACTTATAAATAGAATCAAGGAAAAAAAATTCCTCTACCTTACAAGTAAGATCTCGATACGTTTATATTAATACTCGTAACTTTTAGTGTCATGTGAATAAAATAATAATTATTTATGAATTAACTAACATTCTTAGTCTTAATTTCACGGCACTTTCAAATTTCTGGAGAAGCAATTATAGGCTCTTGTTTGGGTGTTTCTAGACATTAGTGAAGAGTTCCCATCTGGTTTCAAATTTCTGGAGAAGCAATTATAGGCTCTTGTTTGGGTGTTTCTAGACATTAGTGAAGAGTTTCCATCTGGCCGGGTATTCAGGGCGCGGGCATTGATAAGAGATTTGATTTTAAATTTCAAATTCATCAGTGGAGTTGCAAATTAATCAATTAATTTAATATTGTAAATTAAACTTCCTATTGAAAAAGTGTACTCGCGTCAATTATAGTATATCCGTATAAATAATTAAATAGGGCATTTTAAAAAAAATTAATAAATATTTTTGTACAAATAACAAATATTTTTATTTTCTTAATACATATAAATTTGTTGAATACGTCATAGTATATTTAAGACCGAAGGAAATATGCTCCCTTCAATTCTAATTATAAGGCAAAGTTAACTAATTTCACAATGTTTGAGAAGCAATAGCTGATATGATGAAATTTGAAAAAGAAAAAAAAAATGTCACTTTTCAATTTTACAAAGTGCTCTCCAACTCTGAGAATTAAGAGCATGCTACCAACTTTTTACAATTAAGCAGAGGCACTACTACAAAGTGCTCTCCAACTCTGAGAATTAAGAGCATGCTACCAAACTTTTTACAATTAAGCAGAGGCACTACTGGAGAACAATCTTTTTTTGTTCTTGTTTTTGTAGAGGAAAAAGGGGACTCTTTTGTTCTGGCAAAATTCTTAGAAAGGTTAATGTTTAGCTGTAAATGTAGCTTTCAGAGCCAAAAGAGAAAGTGGGAAGAATCTACTCGTCTCACCGATTTTTCCTTTTTAATTTTAAATTAATAATTCTCTGTTTAGACAAAGGAATCAGATTCGAATTTGCGTAGAGGTGTTAAGAAGCGCATAAAGGCAAAAATCAAAATTTCAAGCTCACCGTTTTTCATCGCTCTGCTTCACTTCGAAAAAATATTTACCTGAAAGATGCATAATACAGCCAAACCAAAAATAGGTTATAAATTTAACACGATAGCCGTAGTGGCCTTCTTCTTCGTTATTTTTTTTACCTGAGACATCTTGGATAAATTTTTGTTGGGGAGAATTTCATATATAAATTAAATTTAGTAACAACTAAATCTCAAATTAAATTTAGTAACAACATATTAATAGACTTTGAATACTTAACTTGTAAATAACAACCCATTTTTTTAAATTTTCGTCATTTAGGATTAAGTAATTTTAAAGTTCTTTCTCTAAAACTCACCCTTTTTTTTTTATCTAGCTCAAAGTTGTTTCTTTTGCTGGAAGTTAAACTCTCTCCCCTCCCCCTCGGGATTATATGCATGTATATCCTTAATAAACTGTTCATTTCAACTATACAGGCAAAATTTGCTTAAAATGATCATCATTCTTGCACTCAAAATTAAGAGGATTTTTGAGGAAAATTTTTTGCTACAGCTAGTGCTGTCTAACCATAAGCCAACATTATCGTCAAATGTGATGTAAATGAGTAGAAACAGATGCTTCAGCATTTCATTTAAATATTTTTTAACCGAAACTGTGATATGAATCACCTGGATTCAATATAAGATTGTATCTCACATTGAAAAAAAAAAGAAAAGAAAAAGGGACCAGACCAGCCAGTTCAACCGAAAAACTGGTGAACCGGTCTCAAGTCCAATCTGATTGAAGCAAAAAACCAGCCTTATGATCAAACCAGGAAAAAAAACCGATTGGATGGGTTGTCCAGTTTAATAATTTTAGTCTTCTTATTGTTCACGAAGGCGGTTGTCGCTCTTGAGGCCATCCGCATCTCTACCATTAAAAGAGCAAGAGGTGATGACCGAAAATCCAGAGAATCCTGCAAAAGAGAGGGGTAGTAACTAAGGAGGGAAAAGATAATTGGAGGAGATGAAGAGTAGAGAATGAAGAATATGCCTCGAGGTGTTGAGGAGTTGGTGGGAGGGTTGAAATAAGAAGGATAGAGGTGGCAATAGGGGAAAGTGGAAAGAGGAAGAAGAGCAAAATGAGGAGCCATTAAGGACGAGGACGGAGAGGTGAGCGAAGTGGGAAAGTAATAATGAAGGGAAGATAGGCAATTATTATTAAAAAAAAGTTAAACACAGTCAGACTTGTAGCAAGTGGCAAACTGAATCTAAAAAGGAAGGGAGGGCAACGTCTTTGCCTCCGCCAAATCTTCAGTCGTTCTCTTTCCCTCCCTCAAATATGAAATCCTAAGCCAGGCCGAAGTTTTCAATTGGACTTGCAGGGAATAAGAGTTTAGTTAGTAAAAAGTAAAAAGAAGGAACGCACAACCCGTAATTTCTAGAGCAAACACGGCAGTCCAAGTCTTCCTTTGGTTGTTTGCTTTTTGACTGTGGTACTTGATGGAGTGACTTTAGGGTAAGCCGTAGGTAGATGGAGATTTAAAAAAAAAATGACTGCAGAGTAATGATTCAGGGTTACCTCCACGCGGCATTGCTCCGTCAGGCTTTCACCCATTGTGAAAAATTCCCCACTGTTGCCTCCCGTAGGAGTCTGGGCTGTGTCTTAGTCCCAATATGGCTGATCATCCTCTCGGACCAGCTACTGATCATGACCTTGGTAAGCTATTGCCTCACCAACTAGCTAATCAAACGCGAGCCCTTCCTCGGGCGGATTCCTCCTTTTGCTCCTCAGCCTACAAGGTATTAGCAGTCGTTTTTGACTATTGTTCCCCTCCCAAGGGCAGGTTCTTACGTGTTACTCACCCATCCGCCACTGGAAACACCACTTCCCGTCCTACTTGCATGTGTTGAGCATGCCGCTAGCGTTCATCCTAAGCCAAGATCCACACAAAAGACAAAAGAACATTCCCACAATCAGAAATGTGAGAAAATTTTTAGATGGAGTTTGGAATTGAGCTACTAAAAAAATTTTGTTAAGGACAGTTTACTAAAATTAAATATTCAAACTATTTTTATGGTTTCTTTATATTTTGTTGACTGATTATTATTTATGAATATTATTCTATTTTGTTATTATTAATTAAATTATATTATTTTAATACGACCGGTCCTACCCCGATCCAACCTCGGTCAGACCATTAACTCTTAACTTACTATCTTGACCAGTTTAGTGTCCGTTTCAGGTTTTTGTTCCTTTATTCATCTACAGCTGTTAGAAACAGCACGCAAACAAATAATTCTGATGAACTGTGTTCAAGAATAACCACTAAAAACTTTCCCTTTAACACAAGAAATAACAAGTGGTGATAAAAAATAAATTTAGATATTTAGATGCCATCAATCAATTTCAACTGAAACAATGTGATCAATATCCCCTAGACTCAGAATGTGATTACCCAAGGGAAGAATCCTTTTTCCATACTCATCCACAACGCTTAAGTGCTCACATGGATTCACCAAAAAGCTTGTTTCAGTATGCTTGTAAGAAACAGTATGCAGACGATCGAATCCAATAAGCTGTATTTCGGGTGAGCCTTTTAAACCTTCCGGCCCTCTAGAGAACAACATCACAACATGACTTCCATCCAGCTTACCATAGTTCACCACAGAAACTTGCACCGAGAATCTTAATGAGATGCAATTTTGCATCTCATCAACCGGAATATAATCAACGGAATAAACTTGCTTCCCTTCTTGTTTTAATGTACCCTTTACGGAACCATCTTTGAGGGTGCCTGACAAACCAATCTTACTCGGTGCTGATAAGAACTGGTATGAGAAAGTACTGTAACTTAAGCCATGTCCAAATCCATATATTCTACTTCCGGTATAAAATCGGTAGGTCCTTCCTGGATAATCACGAGTGGGATCAGCACGCATGCGCATGTCAGTCATGGAAACCCTGGTGAATGACTCAGGGTACCAAGTCATCGGAAGCCTTCCACCTGTACAAAAACCAACTTCATAGTTCAAAATGGGTCTTGGAAGATTTTTAATTCAATATTTTTTCCAAGCAGTACTTATAGTTCAGAAACAAGTTTGAAGCCTTCATATGCAATGACAAATTAAGATCATATCAAATGTTTCAAAGCTCACAGAAATTTATGGTTATTATTTTTCACTTGCAGAACGACAAATTAACTTTAATATCCACAAACCTGGATTGGCCTCTCCAAAGATAATTTCAGCTAGTGCTTTGCCTCCAGCTTCACCAGGATATCCAACCCAGAGAATACTTGCAATCCGGGGATTTGCTTCTGCAAAGGAGACATCAAGGGGACCTCCACCAGTAAGGACTAGAATCAGAGGGCATTTACTAGCAGCAGCAACAGAGGATACAAGAGACGCCTGTTTCCCAGGTAGGAGAAGACTAGGTCGATCAAGTTCCTCTGCCTCTTGTGTTGTATCGATCCCAGCAAATATAACAACATAATCAGCTTCTTTAGCCGTGCGAATAGCATCATCAAAAGCAACGTCAGAAAGACATGATACATCAATGCAACCAGGAGCATATGATATCTTCTTTACGTATTGTTTGAGCTCCTCATATAAGGTTTTTGAGCTGCAGGGTGTTCCTGCATAATTAAACACGCAGTCACTATTTCATCAGGGTCTCCCCCCCCAAACAAAAAAAAGAGAGAGAGAGAGACAGTAGCTATGGTTTTAAATTAAGATGGTTTCCAAAATGTGGCCACATGTAACTGGGATTGCAATATCCCATTAGTGTGAGTAGCCGCTAAACCAAAAGCCCATTAGCTGAGAGATTGACTAATGCTCCCTAGCTAGCTTCTTCTATGATGAACTCGCACGTATGAACAGTTAGTTTTTCTGAAACACTTCCTATTGTTCAAATGCCTTCAATAGATGCCATGAAGAATGCTAGGTATTACATAGTCCAACCCTTCACGCTAAACATTAGGTTCACAAATTTGATTTTCTCATATTCAAATTCCACGGGAATGGAGATAGAACTTACTAAAAAGAATAGCCTGGTTGCAATTGAGCAGTGAAGCTGAAATGTAAGGGGAAAGCAAAACAACAACCCAAGATAGGGGACAATACCATTTTTCTAATACCTGTGTAGGCACCACCTAACTTGCTTGTAGAGGCCATTGGGCCAATAACTGCCAAGGTTTCAGCAACATTCTTATTTAAAGGAAGGAACTTCTTATCATTCTTCAAAAGTACGATCCCCTGCCTTGCCGCTTCAAGTGCCAGTGTTTTGTGCTCTGGGGTACAAACATCCAGTGGGCCAAGGTTCCCAAACTGGCCTCTTCTGGGATCTCCATCAAACAATCCAAGACGCAATTGAACAGAAAAAAGGTTGAAAAGAGCTCTGTCTATCTCTTTCTCTTTCACCTTTCCTTGTTTGACAGCTGATTCAGTTTTCCAAACCATATACGTCCCACAATTGATATCAACGCCTAAAAATCAACTTAAGAATCGCAAGTCATTGGAAACTTTCCAACACGTTTAAGGTTTCTAAAATGATTTCAAAGAAAGCAAGATATAAACACCTGCTTCGAGGACATCAGCAACCGCATCTTCCGGGGATTTTGTGTAATTTTGATATTCATAAACCGTGGCCACAGCATCACAGTCTGAAGTGATATATCTAAACTCAAAACCACCAAACGAAATAGAGTCGTTATTCCCATCCTGGTAATCAAGTATAGTTCATTTCTTTAATCATGTTAGTCAGAGTTCCTTTCATATTTTACCCCTGAAAGCCCCAGTCTTTTCTAGCTATTCTCAAGAGCTCCTCACTAGCACAAGCAGGAACCCCATTAACGGCGGTGTAGGAACACATCAAGCAGCTTGCTTTCCCTCGTTGGATACAACTACGAAATGGAGGTTGATAAGTGTCCTCCAAATCTTGCTGGGAAACCTACAATAGAACTATTAAGATCATCACATCAATCATCACCCCTTTAGCTAATATTGTAACATTGGAACTAGATTTGGCTAATCTTACCACAGCATTGAAATTGTAGCTAGCGAAGTTATGCCAACTTTCCAAGTCATAAGCTGTATAATGTTTGCAGCAAGCAGACACCATAAGTTTCTCATGACTCTCACCATTCTCACTCATCACCCTTTGCCCTCCGTAACCATTTCTAATTTCCTCACTCCTCTCCCAACTCCCACCTTGAAGGGCCCTCACGTACTCAATCGCAAAAGCCGACGTCAGCATTGGGTCCTCTCCTGGTGTTTCTTGTCCTCTACCCCATCTAGGGTCCCTGAAAATGTTAATATTCGGTGCCCAGAAAGTCAACCCGGCCTGACCAACATTGTACATAGCTCTAGCTTCGACCGCAATAGCTGATGCGACGGAAGACCAGAGGGACCTATTGAAGGAGGCTGCTTGAACAATGATTTGAGGGAAGCTTGTAGCTGAGGGAATTGTGCCATTGAAGGAGACCCCAGGACCATTGGCAGCGATCCCGTGAAGCGATTCGGACCACCACTCATAAGGGGGAATACCGAGTCGTGGAATGCCTGAAGCGTTGTTGGAGAGTAAACTAATTTTTTCAGGGAGAGTAAGAAGGGAGACGAGGGAGTGAGCTCGGGTTGGAGTAGGAAGGGAAGTGTCGCAGAAAGGGAAGGAATTTTGATAGGGTGGTTTACATGGGAAATCAGGAAGTTGGTTTGAAGAGGGTGCGGTGAGTTCAGAAAATAGAGGGTCGAATCCCAGGAATGGCGGGCGGAGGGAGAGAGTTGACCAGAAAAACAGAAAGAGGAAGAGGAAGAAGAACAAGAACAAGAAGAGCAGCAAAGTCCAAGGACGCCCCATCTCCTCACACTGGATCTGTAACTCTTGGGAGTGATGGGAATGGAAAGAAATCAAGAAACCAATTTAACGAGATCCATCAAAGAATACGAAGTCGGAATCGTTGACGGTTAGAGTATGACCGTACATGAATTGGATTCAAGTTACATATTTTGGGACAAATTAATTAATAATTAATTTATTCGTGCTTAAATTCGTGTGATACATTCATCAATTGTAACTTATTCGTGCTTGAATTCATGTGATATATTCATCAATTGTAACAATTCATGTACCATAAGGGCTGTTTGGATATATCCAAACCATGATTTAGAGAATAGCTTCTGGAAAATAGATTCTGGTGAGAATAGATTTTTTGAAAAATAGATTTTATGAAAAAGCGATTCTGAGAAGTGAGAGTGTTTTGATAGTTGTTACCAGAAGTACTTTTTACATGTACAAATTACTAAAAAATACATAAGTTAATATGATAATTACAGAAAAAAAAAATATTTTATGATATATTTTAATTTGAAAGAATAAAATTATTAATAATATATTTTTTTATTAATATAATTAATAATACATAAGATAATATAAATAATAAATAATTAATATGTATATATATTTATAAGATATAAGATTAAATATATTTATTAAAAAAACAACAAGATACATATCTTATAGGCTCTCACACTCTTCCTATTTTTTCCAAAAACAAAAAAATTTTATTTTTCTCAAAACTATGGTTTTGGTTTTTTTAAGGGTGTTTGGGTGATTTTTTCCCATGGTTTAGGTTATCACCCAAATACCCCCTTAGTTGAACTAATGAATCCAACCTTGTCAATTTTTGTTCATTCATTCAATTTTTTGCCACTTTTGTACAGATTAATCAATGCCACGTTTGATCTGATCTTAGATCATGACTAATTTTCTTCTCCAAATTGTGTTCTTCTTTGAGGCCCACGCAATCAGGTGAAATTGATTCTCTTCCCAAAGAAGAAGAACAAGAAGGAGGTTTTGGGTAGGGGTGTTTATAGGACTGAACGAGATAGGGACGTCCCATCTCTCTTTTTTTTAATTCTTTTTAATTTGAAAACTAATAATACGGGAAATGTAAAAAGTTATAATAAAAACTATGTGAAAAAAATATATAAAAATGATGAAACAATAACAAAGAAAAATAGTTTTTGTAATCATGAGAGAGAGAAAATAAACAAACCTAAAATATTCACTACAAAGAATATCATGTAATCTATACAAAAACAACTTATAAACAATTGATAAATATCATTACTAAAATACTATTACAATGATAAATAACATAAATATATAACAAATAAAAATAAGAATAATATATTGGGACGAGAATGGGACGGGACACCCCTGTCCCGCTTCCCGTCCCATCCTAAAACAATTTTGTCCCGTTCCAAAAGCTTTTGGGACAAGATTGTCCTATCCCAAAGTGACTGGAACGGGGACGGGACATGGGACGGGAGACAGTTGATGAAACGTCCTGCCTTTAACCTCTCAGAGTACGCATTCATAAGCATTATGGTTCAAGCAGATCACAACACAAGCATGTTGATTTAAAATTTCAACATAATTACTTGGGTTGTATTTACTGTTTAACTTCCAGATTACAGGTCCAACTTCAAAAATTCATAACTAATTCCATAAAAATCGTATTGGGATGTTCTAAGATTCTATGAAAATCTATTTCAATGCTCTTTAAGGAAAAAATATCCAATTGGACTTATTTTTGCCCAATTTATACAATTTAATCAATAAATATTATTGTTCATTTCATAAAATCTGGAACTTCCAGATTCTATACCTCAACTTTGGAAATTCGTATCTTCTTGTGTACACATCCAATTGAGGTGATTTACCTTTCATTTTAAAGCTTGGGATGTGTACTATGAGTCTGCCAAAATCTCGTGACTTAACTCGTTCATTTGATAGGTCAAACTGGACCTACAAACTCACTGCTTCGGGACTTACGTTTTATCCCTTAACATCTCTTTACTTTAATTCTTTTTACTTCTTGGGCATACATACCGTGGGCTTACTCTTTCCCATTCATATTTATACACTTTCATTCATACCATAACTATTATAATTAATTACATGGCATCATAAGCATCATGTCCATAACATAAATTACATAATAGGAGAATTACACATTGAATAATAATATCATTCATTAACATGAACAATTCTCCACTTTCTTCTCCTTGCTTCTCAAGCCATTATTGCCCATCATTGATTGACCTAAACGGTTGGTTAGGGAGGGGATGAGATTTGGGAGAATCTCAATAGCAAACAATACCATATTAATCATGCTAGATGGATGCTAATGCACTACACGTAACTTGTTTATTCTCTTATTAATTAGTGACATATTAGCATGCTCAAAGCTAACTTCTTAATGCATGGCCATGGAGGCATAATCTACTCATCATGAATAGCAATTATAGCAGCTAAAACATATCACAATAACATTCAATAACATGTACACGGCAACACACAAGCATACAACATCAAGCAATGACAATAGGTAACTTCACTACTTTGCACCTCAAGCTTTCCTCTTACTTTTCCTTTGACTCCCTTGACTTTCCAACCATGTGGGCATTCAGTCAATATCACCAAACATCCTCTTGGATGTTCCAAGATCTTTGATCTTGAAGCTTGAATCTTGTTCCTTCTTTTTGGCCTTCACCCCTACGTTTTTCTCTCTAAATTTTGACAGATTTTTCCCTCTTAAACTCATGTTAGCTAAAAATATGAAGGGGAAGAGGCTCTATTTATAGCCAAAAATTAGGCTTGAATGGACTAAAATGCCCTTGGTGGCTAATAGAAAGAGTAAGGGCAATCTTGGAACTTCAAGTTAACTTTTACATCATCATTGCATCATCTTCTTACATCATCCTTACCTCATTCTTCTAGAAGACGCTAGGTGTCATAAAAGTGGTGGAGGAGAAGGAAGATTAGATCCTAGCCATCTGATCAAACTTGTTTCCTAAGTTTCCTTTGAATTTACTTGGCCCACATTTCTACAACCTTCTTTATGGCCTTCCGGAGCTTAGAAAATTCTTCTATCTACTCCATAAATTCCCTTTAATTCTAAAGAGTATCTATAAATTTTCTTAGGCCATAACACTTCCTTTAAGCCTTGCATAAAAATTCATTTACTAAAATACCCTTTTATTGGCATAATCGGCTTTTTAATTTATTAAAGCCACTCCACTGGCCTTTTGGTTGCGGGACTAATTTTATAATTTAGTACAATCTTTCAAACATTTAACCTCATTTTTGTGTATATTTTTGAGGTCTCTTGCTATTTTAAATAATTACCTCGAATCATGTACTTTCTATCGGTCATAACCTTATAAATTCCATTTAAGCTGTCTCAGGGGTATTTTTGTCATTTCTCTTCACAGAAAAGTCTTAGAATATTATTTCCCATTTTCTGGTATTTTCTTGGAATTCTCTGTCTACTCTTTTATTTTTACTCCTGTTGGTCATAACTTTCTGAATTTTGCGATTTAATCCATGCTTGGACTTAACTTCATACAACCCTCTCTTTGAGGTTTCTAACTTAACCTCTAGCTTGTTTATACTCTCTTTTCTCTTTCTGGACCTTTAAGACTTTACTGGAGCCTCTAACCTTGATTATACTTGAGCCCCTGAAAACTTTTATTTGCAGTTTAGTCCCTAAAACTGCATTGACTTCCTTTCTCATCTTTGGGACTTCTGCTCAAAAAGAGTTTAGTAGCTTATCCAATTCAGGCTATTTCTGGTACTTCTAAGCCTAAAAGCTGGGATGTTACACTTGAACAACCCTAGTTTTGGGCCAGTTGTCAACGTCAATGCCAGTAGTCGTCTGATACGAAGAACTCAGGTGTAAATAATTAGGAACAATAAATACATAAAATTGTTACTTATTTCTAAAAATAGTACCCTGGGGGAGAATATAAAGGAGCAAATGAGAAATTTATTAAAATAAAGAGAATTGTAAAAGAAAAAAAATGTGTGATGAAAATAATATTTCGGGAGCATGTGATAATAAATATATTAATGCAAAAATAAGTAGTTAAATAGAGAAAAAATAATAATTTAAGCAAAAGAATTGAGACATCCTCTGAATATTTCTTATAAATAGAAATAAGTCATTATGGCTGTTTTTTATTTAAAAAAAATTACTGAGGGAATATGTAAAGCCCCTAAATTCAAGGACTCAAACAGTTTTTGATTTCGGCGCGTGGAATTTACATATGCAGTTCAGATTCAGCTGGGCTGGGCCAGCACATAAATTTGGGCCATCAAGTTGTCGATGTCACTGACAGCCTGGTCTCTTAACCCTCAACCTTGGGTCCAAATGGGCTTTCTTTCCAAGCAATGATCTCTGGCTTCAGACATAAACAAAACAACTTTCTCAAAACATGTGCATTTTTGTGCCCAAAAAATGTTGGAATCTGGCCCAAATAAATCAACATGATCCACAACAATATCATAAAGTTCCGAGCGCATTGTATCAAAAAATAAAAAAAAGCTCCTATTCGAATCTCTATTTAAAAAAATGTTCATTTTTAATATCAGACAGTACATCAAATAGAAATTATTTCTAACAGGTGAATACCTGTATGTAAAAAAGATTATAAAAAAACTATTTCTAGTTCTTTATATAAGAATTTATTTGACTTTTAATTTGGTCCTAAATATAATATCCTAATCTATTTTATCTCTCATATTTACTTATTTTTTTAAAGATAATCCTTGTAGTAATTGCATATATTAAAAATTTCATCAAATTATCCTTATTGACAAAAGTATTTTAGAAAGACAACACCTATTTATTATAAACAACTAAATTAACTAATTTTTCTGAATTACGCAAATTAGTCAGTTAGCTTGTATGTTAATAACTAGAAGTATTACTAAAATAGGTTTCAGACGGATGAAATTTAGAAATAGGGTTGAGCAACAGGCAAGATGGGTTGGCTCGAAGGTTAGCCGTGGCCTGTTCATTTATGAATAAATGGGTATGGGCTAGCCCATAACCAGATT